TGGGCAAGCAGGGCTAAACGTATAGCGGGGAAGCTGCCACATGTTTTGTACAAGTGATCCCGGCGATGTCGCCGAGATCACTTGTATGCAGGCTGCATACAGTGGGGTGCATTGAGGAACCCTGCCTTGGTGCAGCAGAGAGAGTAAATCCAGCCTTGCCTAGATTGTTCACTTCTCCTGCCTTCTCCAAACTCTTCACACTTTAGTGAATAACCCTGTAAATGTATTGCAGAATCACTTTGTGTTCCATAATTATACAACATAGTAATTTACTATACCCTTTTCCAAAGACACCAGCTCAAACAGTTGATTTTGTAACTCCTTCTCATCAAAATATTCCACTTTGGCTTGGAATGAGGTGCCATATTGCAAATGAAAAACACTGTTGGTTGTGGCATTGTAATCCCCAGAGATTTCTTTTCTGCAAATTCAAGAAGATTGAGTAAATTAATTGTATACATTTAGATGAATACTGAAATATAAAAAAATACTTGGAATATATAAGAGATTGGGAGAGAGAAAGAGAAATATGTGTATTTGTGAATGCATAAGTCATAATATAAAAAAGTCCACCATGAATCAAAATATTTGTGTAAAATAATCTTACATAGAATCTGCCATTCTCTGGCGTCTGGCTGCATACTAGCTGTCTGGCATCAATGTGACTTGCAGTAAAGACAAATAGGCTTACCTTAACTGCTCTATAAAGTGGAACTACAACCTCCTATCCCTTACAGCCAAGGAGGGTGCCATCTTGCCAGTTGCTTACATCTTGTCATAGTCACAACGTTAGCTTAAAGCTGCCACTGCTGAGCTGATATTTCATTCTGAAAATGCCCGTTGTGTCCATGTAGCTGATGTGTCCATTAAGCGGCTTCAATACTAGTATCTACTGTAAGTCACTGAGTTGGAACAAGTCAGCTGATCAGGAGTTCTGACTTCACATTGACTTTCTAGTCTGCATGAATGTTATAGGTCAGCGCCCCAGAAAGAATCAAAGCCAGAGACAGACAGGGAAATATTATTTTTAAAAAGAGCACAGCAATGGCAGCCCCCTGTATTTCTCTAATTACAGGTTTATTTTTAGTATTTTGATTTCTACTAAGCTCCTGGAGAGTTTCCATTTGATTTGAAATGTGGGTAATTGTTCCTGTACACATGCATTTAACTACCTGCATTTTCGTCACTTTACATACTTACTGTGGAAGCAGGTATGGTTCTATGTCTATCCGCTTATGATGAGTGTAATATCCACTCAGAGATTTGAATGAGCTTTCAATTCTTCCTAGTTCCTAAACATACATTAAGGAGGGATAGTTAGTGTCATAAAGTATGTAAATAGAATAGTATTTCACAATGTGCTAAATATTTTACTTCTCTGTTATTTGCCATTTCTTGAGTTTATGCATTTATTAATTTGCATTCAATAATGCAAGATTTTATTGAGAATATATGGTATACAGAATATTGGCCTTATGGTTTACAGCTTGCAATTGGAACCCAAAATGGCATTATTCTCTTCGCACGTGCATCCATTTCACAGGCTGTACCCACAGACATGCAGGCTGCAAGTGGTGGATACTTGCAGTCATTTACAGTCATTATTTAGGACACATTGGCCATGCCTGTGTGCTGGCAGCAGTCACAGGCAGTGCCTAAACCATATGATCTTAAATTACCTAGGGTCCAGGGCGGATGCAGACAACCTTCAAACAAAGGATCCTATGGTCTTTTGGGTGCCTGGACCACTGGCCAGAGCTTGCCAAGTATACATTTTAACTGTTGGCATGCCCTGAGACCAGCATGCTGTCAGATAAGGCATTCAGTGAAGCAGGCTGTTTTGTGACAGAGAGAGTTGACTGGCTTGCTTTTACAAAAATGAACCAATGCTGGATCAGCAATGAATACAAAATCCCTGCAGCTGATGCTAATGTATAATTATCTCCTTGGAATTTGGCCTAACATTGTTACACCTTACACCAGGGGTGCCCATAAGGTCGATAGCGCTCTACCAGTGATCGCGTATCGATCACTGATAGATTGAGATGTCCTCTCCTCCCGCTGGTGGGGCTCATCTGCATACAGATGGGGAGAGCAGCGTTGATCCGAGAAGAAGTGAAGGAACCGGCGACGGGGAAGGGTGGAGGACACAGCCGCTGTCACAGAACTAATGCAGAGCGGTGAGGAGAGAGAGAGAGAGAGACGATCGGTCTGGATCTGACAGCCGGCACCTCTCTCTCCCCTCACCGCTCGGCCTTAGTTCTTTGACAGCGGCTCTGCCCCCGCGGCTGAAGTGCTTCGTGTCGGATCCCCCACTGCCTCAGCCTGGGAGAGCAGAGGGGATCCATGGGAGAAGCTAAGCCCCCGTCTACGTGGCCGAGCGGCGGAGGATTGGTACATATCAGTGATAGGACAAACACTGGAGTGATCAACTGATCACTCCAGTGTTTGTAAATAACTGGGGACATATAGTACTATGCGCCCCCAGTTATAAATGAACAGGATGTGATTTACATCACTTCCTGTTCATTCATGAGTTTCTCAATGGGGAGAAGCACTCACTACAGAGGCTCCTCCCCATTCAGAAACTGCTTGATAGTAAAATATTTTCTTAATGAAAGCCTCTGTGCTTTCCATTCATTTAGAACAGAGGCTGCAGAAAAAGGTATTGAGGACTTTGTGTCCTCAATTTCGTTTTCTATTTTAAAAGGGAAATATCAGGGGGCTGTTTAGACCCCTAATATTTCCCCGAAGCCCCCCCCAACAATAAAAATAAAAAAAAATAAAATAAGAAATAATTAAAATAAAATAAAAAATGTAAAAAAAATCCTGGAGGCAGGGCTCTGGGTGACATCACACGCCTGTTGGGAGGCGGGTCATGGAACGCAGGCACTAATATGCCTGGGTTCTGGGTGCAGGCAATCACACTGTGGGTGAGGGGCCGGCCTGCGGTTCCATTGACTTCAATGCACCGCCACACCCCCTCCTGCCCCTGAATGCAGGTGTCTTTTCGTTGGTAGATCTCATTGAGCTTGTCATTTGAAAAGTAGATCTCCAGACGAAAAATTGTGGGCGCCCCTGCCTTACACCATTAATATCTCCTGCCACCACTGCTGACCTGACACCATTACTAGCTCCTTCCACTGCTGCTGGCCTGCCAACATTACCAGTTCCTTCCACTGCTACTGGTCTGCCACCATTACCATCTCCTGCCACCACTACCAACTCCTTCCACTGCTGCTCACCTGCCAACAATATCAGCTCTTTCCACTGCTGCTGGCCTGACACCATCAGCATCTCCTGCCACCACTGCTGACCTGACACCATTACTAGCTCCTTCCACTGCTGCTGACCTGCCAACATTATCAGTTCTTTCCACTGCTGCTGGTCTGCCACCATTACCATCTCCAGCCACCACTACCAACTCCTTACACTGCTGCTGACCTGCCAACATTACCAGCTCTTTCCACTGCTGCTGGTCTGATACCATTACTATCTCCTAACATTACTGCCTCAGCTGCAATTTTTTTTTCTGCAGGGTCAAACCTACATTGTGTCTCAAATTTTCTGGTGTATTCTAGTGCTCAAGCACTGTAAAGGTGCCACAGATAATTATTTCACAGCTAGTCCATGGCTACAACATTTAAAGTGCTTGTTGCAGGGTAAATCATACGCTAAATTGGTTTTATCCGGCAGTGAACAGCCCAAATTGAGCATTAGAAGCAGAAGCCACAACATATCTAAAATCTATAGAAAAGTTAACTCTTCCACAAACCTACCCCGCCCCCCCCAAAAAAAAACAGCTAAAGCCCTCATACCGATTGGCCAGTGGCAGACCAGTTCCATAGTATGCCTTGTGATCTTCTTTTCTTCTTTTTCTGCAGTACCACACTGTATTGTTAATATGCAAAGGAGTGTGACCTAAGTCCACAACTTTTTTTGCATCCAATTTTGCACACGTGTCAACAGACCTAGGGACCTGGGGCAAATGGATTGGGTCTACAGGGAGGGCCAGATTAACAATCAGAGAAAAACATATAAGACATCCTTTCTGCATGTGGCCCATGGTTGCCACCCACCAGGGCTTCAATCTGGACATCCTGGTTTTAGAAACCAACATCCAGTCTAAAGGTTTGCTCCCTGCTGTTTACTTTTATGGAAAATGTGAGATGGGTGAAGTAAATGTGGGGTGTGCAATGAGACGGTTGAGAGGGTGTGCACTGAGAGGAGTTTAAATTGAACAGCCTGGGTTACGAAACCGTTGTCCAGTTCACAACTTTGTTCCCCCACTGGCAATTTTTACAGTACTGGAGAGAGAGGGGGTGTACAGTGAGGAAAATAATTATTTGATCCCCTGTAGATCTTGTAAATTTGCCCACTTACAAAGAAATGAAAGGCCTATCATTTTTTATCATAGGTGTATTTTAAATGATAGAGACAGAATATCAACCAAAAATCCAGAAAAAAACACATGAATCAAATGTTATAAATTCAGTTGCAGCTCAGTGAGTAAAATAAGCATTTGATCCCCTACCAATCAATAATAATTCTGGCTCCCACAGACAGGCTATGTGGTACACAGAGTAGTCCTGTCAATTTAAGAAGGTGCTCCTAACGACAACCCGTTATGTATATAAAAGACACCTGTCCACAGAATCTCTTTCTTACATTCAAACCTCACCAACATGGGCAAGAGCTGTCAAAGGATGTTAGGGACAAGATTGTAGACCTGCACAAGGCTGGAATAGGCTACAAGACTTTCAGCAAGAAGCTTGGTGAGAAGGAAACAACTGTTCGAGCGATTATTTGCAAATGGAAGGAATACAAAATAACCATCAATCTCCCTCGGTCTGGAGCTCCATGCAAGGTTTCACCTCATGGGGTAAGGATGATCATAAGAAAAGTGAGGGATCAGCCCAGAACTACATGGGAGGGGCTTGTGAATTATCTCAAAGCAGTTGGGACCACAGTCACCAAACAATAACACAATATACCGCCATGGATTGAGATCCTGCAGCGCCCGCAAGGTCCCTCCTCCTCAAGAAGGCACATGTACAGGCCTGTCTGAAGTTTGCCAATGGACATATAAATGATTCAGAGAAGGATTGGGAGAAAGTGCTGTGGTCAGATGAGACCAAAATTGAGCTCTTTGGCATTAACTCGCCTCGCCGTGTTTGGAGGAAGAAAAATGCTGACTATGACCCTAAGAACACCATCCCTACAGTCAAGCACAAACGTGGAAACATTATGCTTTGGGGCTGTTCCTCTGCTAAAGGTACAGGCTGACTTTGCCACATTGAGTGGCCATTGGCCATGTATTGTAAAATCTTGGATGAGAACCTCCTTCCCTCAGCCAGAACACTGAAGATGGGTCGTGGATGGGTCTTTCAACATGACAATGACCCAAAACATACCACAAAGGCAACAAAGCAGTGGCTCGAGAAGAAGCACATTAAGGTCATGGAGTGGCCTAGCCAGTCTCCAGACCTTAATCCTATAGAAAATGTATGCAGGGAGCTGAAATTTCGAGTTGCCAAGCGACAGCCAAGAAACCTTAATGATTTAGAGAAGATCTGTAAAGAAGAGAGGACCAAAATCCCTCCTGAGATGTGTGCAAACCTGGTAACCAACTACAAGAAACGTCTTACCTCTGTGCTTGCCACAAGGGTTTCTCCATCAAGTACGAAGTTATGTTTTGCTTGGGGATCAAATACTTATTTTACTCACTGAACTGCAATTCAATTTATAGCATTTGTATCATGTGTTTTTTTCTGGATTTTTGGTTGATATTCTGTTTCTATCATTTAAAATACACCTATGATAAAAAATTACAGGCCTTTCATTTCTTTGTAAGTGGGCAAACTTACAAAATCTTCAGGGGATCAAAACCATTACTTTCCATACTGTATTTGGGGAGTGCAGTAGGGTAGCAACATTTTCTATATATATATATAAAATAATTCTTGTTGTGGATGTGGCCTAAAAGGGAGGCCTGGACCACCCACATATAAATCAAAATAAGACAACATAAGAAAACTACAGATTAGTTATAACTGATTTTAAGCCTTGAAATATAATTACCAAACCCTACCCCCAAATACAGTTTGCATCTTGCTATGCTTTATATGTATATCAGCTATATACAGCAGTTCTGCTCTGGACCTCACTTTTGAGACGTGTGGAAAATGACATGCCTGATGACATGATGGCTGATTAGTGATATTTGAACTTAATGTTCTAATGAAGATTTCACCAAAGGTGTAACAGCTACCTTACACAAATAGCTAGTATT